GCAGTGACGGATGATTCGAGTGACGTTTATTTACAAGTGGTGGAGTGGCAAAAACAGGCAGTGAGGCATGACAAAACAACTGAAGAAACCTAAACTGGGAGAACTAAATGACAAACCTGAGAGCATACAAAAGGGGTGCGGGGCAGAGAGCCACAGAGACAGGACCGAAACACCATAGAACGCAGACGAGCCAACGACGAACACAGGAGGGAAGAACAGCTGATCTGAATACACATGATGACTGGAGGACACAAGCTGAACACAATGACAACAGACACAGACCTTTAGAATAGAACAGGAAATCCAGAACACGAGCCTTCAAAGTACAGCAGGAAACACACAGACTGAATTACAACACAACACAGGGACACGAACAGAGCACCAAGGACAGACACAGGTAGGGCTGATAAAACACTAAACTTCAGGTTCAACCCTAAACTAATACAAAATCAGAATAAACACAAGGCACAAAAATGACCCAGGACCATGACAGTTTGAGGAGAATGAAGGAAGAGAGGACAAAGAAATTGTATGATAGCAGGAAGAGCCAGGTGAGCAAATTTGCAGATAGTTAAATGGAAAAACAATTATTTTTGACATAATTCACATAGATTTTATGGATGCTTTGTGTGATTTCCAATAGCATATGATACAAATGGTAGCACTTAACATTTAAAAGTTTGGACTTAGAATCTCCCCTGGTTTCTGTGTTCACCAGCTTTGAATATCCAAAATGGTACTCTGGTAATTTGGGGGATTTTATATTTTTGGAAGCAGAATTCAATCTTGTACACAAGCTTCAACTGACAGAGGTCCATTAATTTACAGGAGGAAGAGTCAGGTAACACCACTGTGCTGCCACTTATTATGTTATGACATGCCATGACAAACCCAGCCAACCCAGCAACCCTCCACAACTGTAAGACACCTGCTGGGCTGGTTTACTGGTTATTACAAAAACTCAGTTCTCATATTGTGGCTCAGACTACTGTACAGTGTATCAACTGTGCTGACAAAGAAAACTTTGAAAAATCTCTTTGGATTGGTCGCCCTTGATTATTGTAACATCAGCTACATTCATCACCGCCCCGTTGTCCTCCACCCCAGATCATTTTGGAGGCTAAAACAGTTATCCTAGCTCTTTCTTTAGTACCTGGTGGAAATGCAACTAGGTTTTCAAAAGGTTGTTGGTCCCCAGGGAAGTTTCTTTGCTGAACTCTGAATACTAGAAATAATAGCTAATTATTGGTCATTTGTACTTCTGGAGAGAAAACTGATAAATTTTTGTGGAAATGGAATCCTACTTAGCACTCAGTATTTAAAAAAAACAAAATGCAAGGTTGTTGTGTATTAATTTGAGTATAAATCAGAAGAAATATTGGATATTAATTAAGATCACTTCTGTGGGGTGATGAATTTGTTTTGGGTTGTTAGACATAACTACTGATGTTATTCATTTCACTGCTTGCCACGTTACATTCTTTTAAACTGGGATGTTAAATGGAAAATTCATTGTGTTTTGATGGCTGTTATGTATGGAAGCTCGTTTCCGCCACTAAAAAAAAAAAAAAGCTAGTATCCATAACTCGAAATTTCGAGTTACTTTTCTCAAAATTTCGAGTTAGCTCTGCCAATCAAAAATATACGTGAATGAGGTCGCTTTCTTGTTACCCGGAAGCATATGGCGCAGGACCGCGCACTCAAAAACGGATCCCAACAAGTTAAAGTATGTTTGCTGATAGTAACACCATGTGATTCAGCTAATAACACAAGGATTTCATCATTTGTGAAGCCAGGCTGAAAACACTCAGCAATCTGTGCATTCACGACTGGATGTAATACCGGTAGCTTAGCTGTAGCATTTGTAGCTGAGGGCTTCAGCTTCCGGGTAACATGGAAATGACGTCATTCACGTAGATTACTGATTGGCAGCCGCTAACTCGAAATTTCGAGTTGCTTTTCTCAAAATTTTGAGTTAATATGTCGAAATTTCGAGATAATAACTCGAAATTTCAAGAAAATAACTCGAAATTTCGAGAAAATAACTCGAAATTTTGAGTTATGGATCCTTTTTTTTTTTTTAAGGGCCGAAAACGGCCTCCAAAAGTAAGCCAAACCAAAAACAAAACCAAAAAAAAAAAAAACCCAGATTTTAACATTTATAATGATTGCTATGAAATTTTACCTTCAAATATCAAATATCTATGTGGGGGGCATTTGTGGAATGGTACATCTGGCAACTTTCAAACAGGCAAGGAAACCACACCAAAACATGTCCAGAAGTAGCAGTATTATCCACATGCAATGTCCAATGGGAAGTGGTAGGAAGGGGCAATCCACCCTCCATGAACATGTCCCACTGAGCCAAGGGTCAGCAAACCCCAGACCCAAGCCCAGGCATACACCAACACAGACTGACCATGGAAAACTTTGTGTTATAGAATATTAAATACCACCTAACTCCTTATTACAATCCCGGGCATTAGGTGCAGCTTTTTTGTGTGACTAATATACTTTATTTAAATTTTTTTGTATTAGTATATATTCTTTACCTTCTCAAATATCCTTTTATAGATTCTCTCTTCCTTTCCTTTTCATATTTGTTTTTGTTCTTCTCAGTACCACAGGGACACCACCTAATTTCATTGTACTCGTTACAGGGACAATAAAGCTATTCTGATTCTGACATACCTTCAGAAACTAGTCACTAGCCACTTTTCAAATTTGAAGTGTTTTATTAGTGCTCAAATATGGGACTTTTTTCCATATATTATTATTCATATATTTCAAATATATATATATATATTGAAAAATTAAAAAACTTGATATATAAATGGGCGACTGTGGCTCAGGGGGTTGGGAAGCGTATCTGTGACCGGAAGCTCGCCGGTTCGATCCCCGGGCTCTCTGTCCTGGTCGTTGTGTCCTTGGGCAAGACATGTTAGGTGATGCTGTGTACAGGCAGGAATAGGACCCAAGGTGCAGACTCCGGAGACAGACGTGAACTCAAAAAAGGCTTTAATTTAATACTCAAAATATAACAAAACTAAAAAAACTCAAAACAAACTTAAACTAGAGAAATGCCAGAACACACAGCTAAGAAAACGGTAGATCACGACACAGACACAGAGAAACACTGGGCTTAAATACACAGAGGGAGCAATCAGGGAATGAGTAACAGGAGGGAAACACAGCTGGGGCAAATCAGGCCTAAGGAGACAAGAGGAAGCAAAACCAGACACATTAACATCAGACATGGACTTTCAAAGTAAAACAGGAAACACATAACACAGACTGAACAAAGACACAGACTCATATGCAGGCACTACAAAGGGAACAGAGACGTGGGAACAGGGCAGACACAAACACTGACTGAACACGGGGATATAGGAACTTAGGATACACATAGACGCGAACTAGACAAGGGGATGCAGGTGACAGGGGAGACATAAGCCATAAGACGGAACTCAAAGAAACCAAAAACTAGAAAGTATAAATAATAACATAAACTCAAACACCCTGGGTCAACGACCCAGGCATCCTAACAAGACACTTCACCTACCGCCTACTGGTGTTGGCCAGAGGGGCCGATGGTGCGATATGGCAGCCTCGCCTCTGTCAGTCTGCCCCAGGGCAGCTGTGGCTACAACCGTAGCTGCCTCCACCAGTGTGTGAATGCGAGAGTGAATGAATAGTGGAATTGTAAAGCGCTTTGGGTGCCTTGAAAAGCGCTATATAAATCCAATCCATTATTCATGTTTTTAACATTTTTTATGCATATCATTAAGTTGATTTAAGATGGAATGATATATATGGGTTAGTGAAAGCATTTCACTGCAACAGAATGCTTGGTATTACACTATGAACTATATAGAAGGTTGTGTTTCCTGGCTTAATTTTAATTGTTCTCTTTCTGCCAACAAATTATTTCAAAATGCTTTGACCTGTATTGCAATTTTATAGAATCAGGAACAGCTGCAAGGTTCTGTCACGGTGACTACAAGTACAAGGAACTTCATTTGGAGAATCATTAAAGAATTTCGGTTTCTGCTTGACCAATTATTGTTTGTTTTGTTGTTGTTGTTGTTGTTGTTGTTGTTGTTGTTGTTGTTTCTTTTCTTGGGTTTCTTGGCTTTACTTACGAAGAGTGTTGTCTCCACCAGGAGTAGGTAGATAGTGTGACAGGTGCAGGAAACCGGATCCAGCACGTCAATTATCAGAGGTGTTTGCGCAACAGCTCACTTACCCAAATGACCAAGCTTGCCACCTTTACGTTTCCATGGAACTGTTGTTTACAGTGGGTAGTGTGAAAAGCTGCAAGCTCACAAACGGAACTGAGTTCAGCTGGCAGCACATAAAAAATGTCTTCATATGTCTTTATTTCCATTCATGCAAACTGCTGCTGGAGACCTCTGCATTACTCTGCCAAATCGAGCCCTGCACTCACAAATTTTAATGTGGCCCACTTATCAGTTTAGGTTCCAAATATTTTGTCCCACCTAGTTGTTGCTGAGGTCTGCACGCGTGGTGCACATGCTAAAATCAACAATCTGAAGCAAACGTATTCTGAGAATGACGGGGAAGTGAAGTACTCCTTTATTAACTGTTAAGAGACGTCCATGCATCCTTCTGCCAAGTTTATGACGTTCTGGAACTGAATTTGCGTCAAAAAAAAAATTTGAAGAGGAAAATGTAAATAAATAAAAAGTCCAGCAGAGCTATTGCTATTGTCGCTCTTGAGTTTTTTGTTGTTTGATGTTCTTGAAAGCGGAGCTGCTGCCCGTTGTCATGGTGATAAATGAGCCAGTGTCCAAACACTGCCGTCTGTCCCGCACTGATGATCCATCAAAGGCATCTCCATATTCGTTAAATTCGCTCTGACTACGCCCCAATTACCGGGCGTGTCTGCACTGTGCTGATGGAGATTCCGGTTTTTTTGCAGCCTGCTCCACCTGCTTTTCAACCGTAGCGGGTTTGAATCCGATTTAGTCTAACAGCAGCAGCAGCAGCAGCAGGATGGCCTCCAACACTAGGACTATGGCAAACCTTCCCAGCGGGGTCGGAATATGTGCCACCCTCCCCGACATCCTGTACCTCCCAGAACTGGTAAGAAACGGCGATTGTAGGAACTTTTCTCTGTCACACAGTTTTTACTCACAAAACATGCAGAAACTTTCTTATCCAGAGATGTTCAGATGAAAAGCCCTTAAAAAATAATTTTAAAAAAAGAAAAGAAAGAAAATAACTTTTAACCATTTTCTACTTTTTATTTCAGTGACGGTTTTTGTTTTCTGAAACAGAAGGACAAAATTGTTTCATTTCTGGTTAACCTGTGGTTCAAAATATATTTATATAGTAGGTATAGTGTAAAAGTAAGTTACAAATAAGGTTAACCTTCTCACTTTCTCTTCACAGCAGTAGTAAGAGGAGCTGATTTACAGCCACTTTGCAGAGAACGTTTTTGTGCTCTCCTGTGCCTAATTTTAAGTTGGCTTCACCCTACTGATAACTGAAGTTTATAGGATGCTGACTGAGGGTTAATGATGTGGGTGTGTTAGGAGTAGGATAATCTTCCTACATGAGCAATATTACAATTAATTATATTCCAGTGAATATGTCATGAGCCAAACATCACAATAGGCGGAGGACAGACCGAGCAGGTTGGATTCCTATGATGACTCTGTGCAGTGGAGGAAAACAGATATGAAAAGAAAAAATGTTTTCATAAGCCACGTGTAGCTTAAGAAAATGTCAGCAGTGGAGGAATGTCGCAGGTGTTTTCACATGAATGTGTGCGAACAGGTGGAGTTCAGACAGTGATGACATACGGTGGAGGAGGGTCAGGCTCCCTGAATAATGCAGTCTGTCAATCATTAAAGGTGTAGAGTAAACGAAGGCAGTCACGCCTGTGCTGCATGCCCAAGTAGAAGTACAGGTTCTACAAATAACTGCAACACACGTTGTGGAAACATATAATTTCCTTAAACTAAAGCTTTATGATCGTCCCAGATCTAACTGAGGCTGTCATTTAGGGGCTTCTAAGCCCGTGTGGAGATTTTTCACATGTTCCAGCTCTTCTTATGTGTACATGATGTATACATGTTGTTGCAGGTTTTTGGTGGTCTGGTGTGGATCTTGGTGGCATGCACACTGGTAGTGCCAGAAAATCCTCAGGGCTGGGTCATGTTTGTCTCTGTCTTCTGCTTTGTGATGACTTTTATCTGGATGGTGGTGTTCGCCTGTGGGAGACATCATAATAAAGCCAGCTGGGCAGCAGCAGTAAGTCCTCCACAAATCATATCGCACACACTTACGTGTCCTTGCTGCTTGGCAGCTGTCTGATTGTTGAACTTTTATCTCTATTTTTGTTATAAAAGTAGTTATAAAGCATCTTGAGGCTATTGTTCTTGATTTGGTGCTATATAAATAAAACTGACTTAAAGTGTGTTTCATTCCTGTTTATGTAGCTCTATCATACCTGTCTTGACTCCAGTAGCAGGAAGTACCCCTGGCAGATAGAGGATCCAACTTATACGCAATAGAAATTGACCAGCTTGAAGTCCTACCTCGTTGTTTTGTCTGTTATAAGTATAATACAGCGAACAATATTAATATGGTTGCTTCAGAGAAACACGGATCGTTCTAATTGCAAATAGATGCAGTTAAATGATGGTAGATATACAGCATCTACCTTCATCATCAACCCTGACACATGCCTCACTTTAGAGGTAAAAAAGAGACAGGAAACAGATTTTGGCAGAGTTTTAAGGAAAACGCACCCTTCCTTATAATTCTATATAATATACATATAGTACATATAATTTTATATAAACCACAATTAAATGTTACAATTTAAGCCACTTTACTTTTCCTTCTTGAGCTTGTGTCCATTATATGTCATTGTTCTGAACTTTTCTTCTGCCGTGGTTAAATGACAAGCATCAGTGCAAGATTGCTTTGACAGTCTTCTTCGGTTGCTTTCCGTGGTGCTCTGACACCTGATATTTAAGAATTTGCAGCTACAAAACAAGTTTTTTGATGCAAACACACACAACACAATAGCTTTACATGCCAGTGTTTGACAGGATTTTGCAACTATATGTGTGTTTTGACTCTATGCCAATGCAGGCAGTCACCACTTTGAAGACATCACCACATAACAATGTCTCGCTCTTTTTCTTCCTACTCTGTCAGGACTTTTTGTATCATGGCATTGCTGCATTCTTCTACCTCAGTGCTTCAGTGGCGTTGGCCAAAGTGACGCTGGATCTGAGCGGAAAACAGAGCAACAACACAACTACAGGAGCACGCAACTACAAGTTGGACGTCTCTGCAGTGGTGAGTCAGGCTGTTGTTACTTGGGTGACACAAAGAAATGAATGATTATAAAGCTAATGAAATAAAGCCCACAGAGAATTACACACTGGTTGCAGTTTTCTTTCAGAGTTGGCTCTCAGTGAGTTGAAATAGTGATACAAGAGGTAGTCGTATTTCAGTGAGGCAAACATAAAAATACCAAATAGTTTTTATTGCATTAATTCTTTCAGGCATCATTTTTAATTTTACTTTAAATGTACTGATTTTTTTACTTTACTTTGTAGATGTTCCGTTTTTGTTTTGAGGTATTTAACCTATTTTACATCATGTTCTGATTAGTTGTTTTCTTTGGATCTTTTAATAAGAAAAAATAGGAAGAATCAGAAGAAATCAAGTCAGTAGAATATTTGCACAGATCTTCATGAATTTCTGTCTGTCGTGGATGTAATATTTGATCAACTCCATAGCCCTAACTTTAAAAAAAACATAGGAGGCTATTATTACCTAGTAAAATGATCCCAAAATACTAAAATAACTTTGAAATCTCACCTGCTTTACTTCTGCTGTGTAAGTATCGACTCGCTTAGTAGACATTTTTGTCGCTAGTGGTTTTCTATCCATTTGTAATTGTTTTGTGTCTATTTGCATTAATGTTCTATGTCTTTGTAGTCATTATATTCTATTATTTCTTGTTAATTAACTTGTTTTTTGTCTTTATACTAAGCTAGGCTAAAGTGGTTTTAATCTAGATGTTAAGTCTCAACAAAAAAGAGAGTGTTTGGCACATTGTCAAACAACGGCTTTGAAACTGCCTATTTTTTAAAATATGAAACTACTTAAGAATAAACTTTTAGTGCACTCAAGGTGGTGAAGTGGAGACTATTCTAAAACCTCTTTCTCCAGGGCAAATATTTCATTGCAGCAGCAGCAGATCTGCTTTAACATTTAGCTCTATCATACAAGATTTACTCTCAACAAATGACTTCTAATCAAAGATGGATATTATGAACAATTTAGCTTCAGTAATGCCTGGAGGAAATGTTATATGTTGCTGTTAACATTGCTTAAAATCTGATACTGTGTTGGTTTGGATTTTTTTAAGGCTTTAAGTTTCAGTGGTTCAAAGATCATTTAAGGTGTTGATGACCTCCTGACCTCCTGATGTTCTCTGTTCTTGCAGGTTTTCTCATATGTAGCCACTCTTCTCTACTTCGTCCACACAATCCTGTCTGCCATCCGATGGAAATCTTTCTAGAAGCTTTCTCCCTATAAACCTCATGAGCAGAACTGAATTTCATTTTGTACATACGGAAATGCTGATATGACGGGGGTTTGGTGATGGAGACTGTCAAGTTACTGATCTGGCGTTTCCCTCTGCTAAATGAAAGACGATCTGGGTCTCACTGTGCCTCACACTGCCTCATGTCTACTGTTAACTTCCAGAATACCATACCACAGTATCACTACTTACAGCCACAAGATTAAAACCAGGGGCCACACAGTGTGTAGGAACTGGATATTTGTGAATGTGCTGGGATGCCAAGCACTGGAATGCGAAAGGTGGATCCTTTGCACTCCTTATCCCAGGAATAATGGGGTCTGAGATTAACACCTTAGATTAGTTTCAGATTTCATTTGCCATTTTAAATAGTTCTCATTTTGCAAACATTTTTAAGTTGACAAAGTGTTCCAATAAAACCCTGCTTTGTAGTAAAATAATCAATGCCACGTATATGTCAGTAGTTTTAATGTTGTGGCTGTTTTGGTAAATGGTAAATGGCCTGTATTTGTATAGCGCTTTACTTAGTCCCTAAGGACCCCAAAGCGTTCACAATCACTACTCAAGCTCTCATTATATAGAAATGTCAGAGCGCCAAAATAAAGAATAACCAGGATAAGAACAGAATGATTGTATAGCCAGACATAAAAAGATTTATCACTGCCCTGCAAAACTGAGCAAGCCAGCTTACTTAGAAAGACTGAGGGACTAGAGAGACAAGCTTAGCGTCACTTTTATTTGCTGATATCAGAACACTTGATATCATTTGGCGAGGAGTGAACTCATCACTTGAATGATCATTCTGCTACACTCCATGAAAATAATATTTGACATATTTAGTTTAAATTAATGTGATAATTAATTTATCAGTGATTAATTTCAGGTTCCCATGGGTCCTTTACTCCTTTTCTTCTCATCATTATTATTTGGATGACTTTGTCCTTTAATGAAAACCTTTCGATTAATATTATTGTTCTGCTCTCAGCTGACTAAAGAAAGGAGCGGGTGGGGAAACATTTATATTTTTGTAGGTTTATTCACACTTTCTTTGAAATTAAATAAATTTGGGGTTTTTCATGAAATATGTGAAGTGTTTCTGTATGCTATATTACCAGATTTTGTAAGGTGAATACAATACATTCAGACAGAGATTGTGGTTTGTTGAATAGTTGTGCTACATGTTGAGTGCTTACAAATTTTATGCCAAGGAGTCCAGACCAAGTCTGCTGTGACACACACAAAAGGTGATTTTGAGCACTTGTTTTTGTATCAGTTTGTGAACAGATTTTTTCAACATAATGCAGTTCATGCAGTGTGAATATGTGGTATATCCCCTTAGCAGTCCAATTAGTCCCCTAAACCATCCAATGTCCCGTGGGCGGTACGTCCGACTGCTAAGGGGATATAGAAACAGTATCCATTACATCACCAACTTTGAGCTTTGAAACTTTGAACTAGGACTGTAGTCGCGATTTTAATGTAAACATGGGGAACCAACCTTAAGAAGGGTCAAAAACTAGTTCCAGAGAAGAAGTTTAGCTAAATACAAAATAATTTGTCAATAATTTATTAATGAATAAAGAAAATCTGTTCCGTTCAATCAAATTTCATTTATATAATATAGTGCAACATGATAACAACAGTTGTCTCAAGGTGATTTATATTTTAGGGTAAAAACTCTACAATAATATAGAGAAAACAGAAACCCCCAAAATCAGATGACCCCCTACGACAGGGGTGGGGAAGCTTTTTTATATGAAGGGCCATTTAAATGTTTATATATTTCTCAGAGGGACATACTATTATGAACACATACCTAGGGATCCAAAAAGAAAGACCAAAAAAGCTACATGAGGTTTCAGCTCGCCAACACACCTCACAGCAGCCGGAGGTGAGTGCGACAACACAAGCTTGACACAGAGGTCGAGGGGACACGGGAGAGAGGGCGACAGAGACAAGACTAAGACACACAAAGGACAAGGGAGACTTAAACACAAGTTAGAACATAATACAAAAAGGTACAAAACTCAAAATGCTGGTTCAAGATGAACCAGAACTATGACGTAACCAACTGCAAAAAAATAATGATGAGATTCATTTAAGATAAGATAAGATAAGATAAGATAAGATAAGATAAGATAAGATAAGATAAGATAAGATAAGCTTTATTAGTCCCACGTGTGGGAAATTGTGTTACAGCAGTGGACAATCCACAGTTACATGGAAAATTAGAAAAAAGAAAAACACTGGAATAAGATTTCAATAGATACTGTACACAACTGTACACAATAGAATAGAATAGAATACAATAATATATACAATCGAATAAAATAGAATACAAATGCTATATACAATTGAGTATAATACAACGATGCCAGAAAAGAGTGTTGCACTTCATTTGCACTTAATTTGAGATTACAGAGCACAAAAACTGCTACTGTTCTGAAGTGCATTACTATTTAACTATTGATTACTGAACTGGCCAAATGGTTACATTCTTGGGATTTACATGTAAACAGAACAGCTAGAAAGAGACACAACACGAGATAGAAATGGATAGCAGCCATGAATATTTCACATAGCAGAAGCTTGTTGCTTTTCTTTTCTGTTTTTAACCACAGTAGCATTTTACTGCTAGAGCAGCAGAACAGCATGAAGCAGAAGCATTAATGATTTATATCAGTTAAATAACAACAATAGCATTTGTCCTGAAAAGCAACTGATAACTATATTTTAATCACTCGAGCAATTTCTTCTGACATAAACACATAAACAACAAGATCCTTATAGCGTTATTTCCCGCTGTTATAAAGTGTTGAATTCATTTGACAGCTGTACAAACTTAATCAAATTTTTAAAAGGTAGTGTGGATGAGTCATGTCCAGATATTTTAGCTCTGGACATGACTGAGCTAAAATAACCACTACTCTTTTTATTCTGACCAGCAGTGAAGAGTTTAAATCAGAGAAAACATGAAAGCAGGTTTTATAGAAGTACAGCAGAGAGCAAATACAGAACACGGCGCCTCATACACAAGATGTGTTTCCATCACTTCAGAGATGCACGTTTACATTGGCATATTAATTTCATGGAAAACTCCCATGATCATAACCAGTATTTATTTAAAACTTAATCCTAAACCTCACAAGTTCATCCTCGTGGGGACTTGCTTCATGTCAAGAAAATATAAGTACACATGGAGCCATACTGGCAGTGTGGCAGGTCAGTGAACTGTAGCTGTGATGGATAATTGATGAGAAGGCAGGAGGTGATAATAGCAGAGTATTTCCATGAAACTGAAGACGAGAGAAGCCCTGGGATGATGCAGTCTGTCTAAATGACTATGACATCCTAATCTCAGACAACAAACAGTTGATAAGCATTATGGACAAAGATACTTCATGTCTGTGCCTCTTTTGTGGATAGTCTTGATGTTGTAGACAGCAGTGATCCTCCAACTTTGTGTCACCATTTTGGATATATAACAACCCCCAAAATGGGCCCTACAGTGGTTAAAATGCACATTAGTTTAGGCACAAAGAAAACTTCTTGTCCTTCTGTGCTTGATACTGTCGACCATAATATCCTATTAGAGCGATTAGAACATGCTGTAGGTATTACAGGTACTGCGCTGCAGTGGTTTGTGTCATATCTACCTAATAGACTCCAGTTTGTTCATGTAAATGGAGAGTCCTCTTCACACACTGAGGTTAATTATGGAGTTCCTCAGGGTTCAGTGCTAGGACCAATTCTGTTTACATCATACATGCTTCCCTCAGGCAGCATCATCAGAAGGCATAGCATACATTTTCTTTGCACTTCAGATGATATCTAACTTAATCTATCCATGAAGCCAGATAACACACACCAACTAGTTATGAAGCAGGAATGTCTTAAAGACATAAAGACCTCTATCTTTCTGTTTCTAAATTCAGATAAAACAGAGGTTATTTTCCTCGGCCCTAAAAACCTTAGAAATATGGTCGTAACCAGATACGCGCTCTGGATGGCATTTCTTTGGCCTCCAGTAACACTGTGAGAACTCTTGGAGTCATTTTTGACCAGGACTGCTTTCTTCCATTTGACAATATCTCTAAAATTAGAAATATCCTGTCTTAGAGTGATGCTGAAAAATTTGTTCATGCTTTCGTTACTTCCAGTCTGGACTACTGTAATTCATTTTTTTAGGATGTCCTAAAAACTCCCTGAAAAGCCTTTCAGTTGATCCAAAATGCTGCAGCAAAAAAATACCAACAGGTATGTTTTTTCTTTCTGTTTATCCAACCTTTTATTGCTTTGTTTTGTTATATCCTCCTGAGAACCAAGGAAAGAGATTCTTCCGATTTAACTTTTTTTTTGTAATTTCCCGTGTCTTTGGGGTCACCCAAACACATGAGATATCATTGGAAAGCCCAGGATGTCCTTTATTTACTACATTGGGCTGGTTCTCAGGAAGATTTATCATTTCATGTTAACCTGTACCGTTGCCTCATGTATACCAATATCCTCTGCAGCCACCTTATGGTGAAACTGCTGTACTACAGCTAAGGCCTACACTTATTCACATTGGCGTCAATAAAAGCAAAACTGATAACAGCCCTAAAATGCGAATACACACAATGCACCTGATTCTATTATTAGCTTAAAAATAAAAGATAAAGATAAAAAATAAAAGAACAATAAAAGTCAGTCATTAATTGTTACTATCTTACAGTTAACTTTAAGATTTAATAAAAGGCAATAACGTATACATTTTAAATATTTATTAACCAGTTTAAGAAATATATGTTGTAATCTAATAATCTACAAACAGAAGATTTTCAAAAGTGCTCAAGTTAGAAGTATTGATAAATGCATTAATTACCAAAAAATACAAAAATTGAACAAAACCAAAAGTATTTTTGTAGCAAGTAAAATTCCAGCTAGGACAAACAGGTATTTATATAATAAAGCCTCCACTTACAGACTGTTAATACATACACTGATACACTGAACTAGAAACTGATGTTGTGATATATGTTGATGAAAAGAGACTGTCACGGCTGGCGGGGTGAGCCGTGTGGTGTAGGAGGAAAAGGACCCAAAATGCAGGCAGTTGACTGGTGATGAGAGTGATGTTTTATTTACAGAAGTGGAGCGACGGAACAGGTAGTGAGAAAAGACGAATGACTGAAAAAAACCTAGACTGGGAAAACGAAATGACAAACCTAAGCATGAAACGGGGAGCGGAGAATGCAGAGAGACGTAGATACACCGAGAAACACAGCTGACACTAATGGACATGATGAGAAGCAGACCTACAAAGTAAAACTGGAAACACACAGACTGTTTTGCAACAAAAACGCAGGGACCTGAACGGAGCACAGAGGGGAGACACAGGTAGGGATAATAACACGACAACCAACCCAAAGAATTAATACAGAATCAGAATAAACACCAAACACAAGATGAACCCAAAAAGAAACACAAAACGCTGGGTCAACGACCCAGGATCATGACAGAGACCCATAACTCTACAGTCCATTCATGTGGAATCTGAATTTATTAAAGTTTTAACTTTCATTTAAACTAACATTTGTTTGTAGAACGCACAATGCATTTCTGAACATCAGAAACTATTAATCACACACTAATATGGACATTTGTGAAACTTGTTTTGTTGTACCAGCATCATCTGGTACCAGAACGCCTGGAGTGAATACACACAGTGCAAATAACACTGAAATCCGAGACCTCCTGCTGAGCAGGGACACTGCTTAACCCAGTTTGGAGATAATGATGCTACCTTTGATCCATAAGGTATCAATGTCTTTGAGTGATGTCACTCTGTGGTGAAAATAAAACAGCTGCTGGCCATCCACAAACACACGAAATCTGCTTTGTTCACACCGAATCTCAATCTGTGAGGACAGAGCGAATGTTTAGTTAATTTTACAGTCTTTTTCTTTCAGGAGCGGTGTGCACTGAGTAGTTGCCATTCATTCGTGTACTCCTTGTTATTGCCGATCATTTCATGACACCCAAAATCACTCGGTAACAATAACATATCCATGGAATGTACTCTATTTTGCACTAACATATTCTACACATGTAATTTATATGTATAGCATAAACTCATAAATGCCATTACAGTATCAACAAGTTTATGGTACCTTGAAGGGCTGGTCTCTGATGAAGGGGAAAAAAGGAACAGCTTTGTCAACATCTCCCCAGGATCCAGACATGCAGGCTCTTCGTAGCACTTGTCTGTCCTTGAATCGAACACACATCTCCAGAGCCACATCAGGTGGAGGCTCCCTGGATGTGCCACAACCACATGTCAGGGCAATGTAGAACCTAACAGGGGGATGGATATACAGTATGAATCTGGCCACACCTTTCCTTAGATTATCACATAATAAATGAATTTTATATGCGGTGGTTTCTCAAAAGGGAATCCTACAATCAGGCATCGCTTTGGACTTGAATAATGGAGAAATCTCTGTAGGAGAGGCGATTACCATACTGATGTCACTGACTTTAAGCCCATCTTCACCCCTCAAAGTCACAGAGACCTGTTTTAAATTCTGTCTAGATAACATTTCTTCAGCATTCACTTCAAAAGTCTTTAAGGCAGCTGTCTCAAACTCAGAGCTGCTAGGGGCCACTGCTGGAATGCTTAAGTATTCAATCAGAACAAAAAAGAAAACATCCACAAATATTTCCAAAAATGTAGTTTTTTTATTTTAAATATTGTATAACGAGACAAAACTGCAGATGTAAGCACAATTGTTTTTCTCATGCTTAACTAAGTCATCGGGCACTCTGCACTGGCTGCAGTGGTTATTATTATATTTACATGCTTTCATTTTCCGTTTCTCATCAGTAGCAACTCGTACTTTTTGACCCTCCTTTTTCTCCCTCCCTCGCCCTCACATGCACACAACAGGAGGGGCTGTCCCACACATTCCCCCTGCAGCACAGACTACACTGTCCATGATGCAACATTCTTAAAGGGGCTGTAACACTCTGCTCATGCTGCCTTCATATTAAATAATTTTAGAGGAATAGGTATGGAGGGAAGAAGGATCTCGTATATAATGTGGTAATACTGTGGGAAGGATGGAAAGTCAGTAATTACACAAAACATTTCTACCTATCAGGATGGGGATTCACAGTACCAATCACTGTGATCCTTTTCCCCAGCTGCATTCCTCCTGGGATATGACCTCTGAAAGGAACTGCCTGCACACACAAGCATTTGCATAGAGCAACAAAATGCTGAAAAACCACAGTTAATTAAATTTGATTTAAATAATAAAGTTAAAAACTAAAAAATCAAAAGGCAAGCAAGTGGTGAGCCTAAATAATTTTGGATGAATCTAATGGAAATATATGGTACAATAAAATTACAAAAATTACTGAGAATTCAAGAATAAAGCTGAAAACTTTTAAGACAAAACGGAAAGAATACAAATGTGCTTTTTTGTTGAAAAAATTAAATTCACTTCTGTAGCACCAAATCACAACAACAGTCACCTCCAGGCACTATATATTGTAGGGCAGTCACTGTGTAAATGCATAATCTGACCAGAAAAGGCTAAAGTGTTACTTTATTTCCAAAATGTTTTCTAAGTAAAGTGTAAATTGGATAAAAATAAAAATTTTACAAGATCCACTGCAAAATAAATAGAAAAATACACATTTTATATTATATTATACATCATACATGCTTCCCTTAGGCAGTATCATCAGAAGGCATAGCATACATTTTCAGTGCTGTGCGGATGACACCCAGCTCTATCTGTCCATGAAGCCAGAAAACACACACCAATTACTTAAACTGCAGGAATGTCTTAAAGACATAAAGACCTCTAACTTTCGCTTCTAAATTCAGATTAAATTGGGGTTATTTGTACTCGGCCCTGACAATCTTAGAAATATGGTATCTAACCAGATTCAGTGCACATATTGAACATTTTCCATTTGCGCAACATCTCTAAAATTAGAAATATCCTGTCTCAGAGTGAC